ATTATGGACCAGAATTTCTCATAGGTGCGCGCGCGTGCACGCGCGCGTGTGTGTGTGTGTGTGTGTGTGTGTGTGTGTGTGTGTGTCCATTCACGTAGAGGCAAGATTGCTTTTGTCAGACCCAGATATGCCTTGAGGACCCTGGAGAAACAGCCCCCCGTGGTGCCTTCTCGTCAATCACACAGACACATGTTCCCGTTCAGGGGTCTGTGCTCTGCTGAGGCCAGTTGAGGACTGGCTGCTGGCAGCGCGGATCGCTGAGTGCCTGGCTCTAGGAACCTATAGGGACAGGAGCATCGTGCCTGGCCGCCTCCAGGGAACAGGGGCAAGAAGGTCTCCTTCCCATGCCACCTAAACACACAGCACAGTTTCTGTCTGTTCTCCAGGTCCAAGGCCCTGGGATGCCCATCTGATTTCCAGCATATCTGTTCCATGTTGAATGATCTTCTTGCTATAATCCTTTTTGTCAGTTTTGTATGTGTATGATTTAACCTCCATTGACAAAATTCCTGAAAATGGTGTTATCAGAGTTAATTCTCTACTTTACTTGAGAATTTATGATCCACAGCAACAAACAGATCCTCAAACTGTTTCCGGTGAAATCCTTGTATGTCCCTGGTTTCTTCTGCATTTTCAGCTGTTGGCGGTATCCCCAAGGCTCTCTCTGTGGCCCCAGACCCATGTCTCCTGTGGTTCTGTTGTCCTGGTCTGTTCTTTCTTTTCTAGCTCTGGTTCTTCTGATTCCCTGCCATGGGCTAGCGCCATGTTCAGCACTGAGACACAGAGCCCTGTCCCGGCTTGGGAAATCAGGCCGGTGGAGATGCCATGAGTCCCCGGAGCACAGATTCAGCAGTGGGCCGACATCCTATGTTCATCCTCAAAAGGATGCCATTCTTTTGCTCAGATGTGGGGGAGGGGTAAGGTCAGATCCCAGAGGGATCTGGTCAAATGGAGTAGGGGAGGGCATCTGAGCTGTGGTTTAGTTTGATAGGGGTCTGATAGGGAAACGGATGTCAAGTAAAGCATTTCTCTGAAGTGAATAAGGAGCCAGAGTCTGAAGCACCACCAGCGGCCCACTGTGAGTGAAGCCGAGAAGAAAGAGTCCGGTCTGGCTGCGGAGCCCACCTTTGCCTGCCTGCCTCATAGAACCTCACCCTGAGAGCCACGGTGACTTCTCCAGGTTGTTCATGGTTGTGTTAATCGTGTTAGTCAGATGGCCTATGGTGGCATAGGCCTTGCATCCAAGCCCTCGGGAGACAGAGGCAGCCTTACCTCTACTGAGTTTGAAACCATACTAATCTGCAGAGAGAGTTCTAGGCTAGCCAAGGCTATATAGTGAGACCTAGTCTTAAAAAAAAAGATAAATAATATATAAATTATAATAAAAAAGATAATATATAAATAATTATATATATATATTTACATTATTAAATAATGACTAATGTGTGTTTGTATTACACCATACAAGGTTTTCTATGTAGATTATTTTGTTTTCACAACAACCTGGCAGAAGAGGCAGGTATGTTGTGGGATAATCTTTTTGTACACTGTGAAAATGCGTCTCTGCCAAAGCACCTTCTGACTGGTTTAATAAAGAGCTGAGCAGCCAATAGCTAGGCAGGAGAGGATAGGCGGGACTTCCAGGCAGAGAGAGGAACTCTGGGAAGAATCTGAGGCACTCAAGATTCACCAGAGAGATTCAGAGCAAGTCGGATGTACAGTATGGAAGAGAAGTAATGAGCCACGGGGCAGAACCTAGATTCATATACAGAATGTAGCTTAATATAAACAAGTTGATTTAAGTCTTAAGAGCTAGTTGGGAACAAGTCTAAGCTAAGGCCATGCTTTCATAATAAGTTCCTGTGTCATTATTTGGGATCCAGTGGTCCAAAAAAAGCCCAACTGCACAGGTACTAACAACATCTAATAATTCTTTTTAACAGCTGACTCCTTTGTTATTTGTGTGTGTGTGTGTGTGTGTGTGTGTGTGTGTGTGTGTGTGTGTGTGTGTGTGTACTAGGTGCCTGCAGGAGCCCACAGAGGCCAGAAGAGGCTGTTGAGTCCCCTGGAACTAGGGCTGTAGGTGGTTGTGAGCCATCACATGGGTGCTGAGAACCGAACCCAGGTCCTCTGCAAGAGCAGCCAGTGCTCTCAACTGCTGAGCCGGCTCTCCAGCCCTGCATCTGACAATTCTCACCTCACTGTTTTGATGACCAAATGCACTAATAAGAACTTGTCATGTGCTGGATGAGGTCCCAAAAGGTATGCCTGTGTCTGAAATCCTGGAACTTGGAAATCGACTGTATTCAAGCAAGAATATCCTTAAGCCATGCAATCACGGATCCAGAAATGGGAAAAACATCCTCATTGTCCTCAGGGACCTGAAATGCCAAGACAAGTATCCCTGTGACAGACGGTGGGGCCTCAGAAGCAGAGACTGAATGACAGACATATCCATGGTTATGAATGCTCACAGAACCAGGGGTGGTGGTGTGTGCCAGTACTTCCAGCACTTCAGAGGCAGGAGGAGGAGGTTCATGAGTTCAAGGTCAGGTTGGACTAGTTAGACTCTTCTCAAAAATAAATAAATGAATGAATGAAGAAAGAAAGGAAGGAAGGAAGGAAGGAAGGAAGGAAGGAAGGAAGGAAGGAAGGAAGAAAAAGAAGAAAGAAAGAAAGAAAGAGAGAGAGAAGGAAGGAAGGAAGGAAGGAAGGAAGGAAGGAAGGAAGGAAGGAAGGAAAGAAAGAAAGAAAGAGAAAGAAAGAAAGAAAGAAAGAAAGAAAGAAAGAAAGAAAGAAAGAAAGAAAGAAAGAAAGAAAGAAAGAAAGAAAGAAAGAAAGAAGGAAAAACAACTACTGACTGCCAGCAGGAACTGAAGGCAGGAAGATTGGTTCTTGGCCTGGAGATTCCAGAAGCAGGGCCCTGCCTACACTTAGAATCTGTGTCCGGCCAGTGGGCTCATAAATGGATGGTTTTTTTTAAGCCACCAGTCTGTGGCTTTGCGTAGCAACCATGAAAAAAAAGAGTACAGAATCCCGGAACTGCTCACTCAGTCCCAGGAGAGACTCAACAGCAGCCATCACTGTCTCTGGTTAGGGAACCAAAGATAAATAGTGACACCTCACTCCTCCAGGAGGGTGACTTTGTTAACCACGGAAGAGGCTGTGATAGACGGAAGGGCAGAGGCACGTTGACTCAAGAAAGTGGAGGCTGAATGGAAGAGCTCCAGTCAAATGAAGGTATCAAAGGAAGCTGCCTTCCCCCAACAGCCTGGACCCCTGTCCTTACACTCTCAGGGTCTGGAAGGTTCCAAGGAGAACAGGAACGTGATTTTGCACATGCTGAGGTAGAGGCCCGTCTGGGGCACCCGTGGAACCGCCTAGCCAACGGCTGGAGTTGCGTACAGAGAGTAGAGTTCCTGCCAGTTCGTGCAACACCGGAAGTCCGGTGGAGTACGATCACTCAGGTAACCTCACCTGTTCCGGACAGGGAGGACCACTACTGGGGAACCCTGACAGAGTGCTTAGAGGGGGAAATGGGAAGTTTTTTAACTGATTTTTTTTTTCACTTTCCCTTCTTAGTTTACAGAGAACCCGACTGGAATGTGAACACACGCTTCATTGTTCCCTTAGAAGCTTAATTCTGAAGACCCCGAACAGCCCTGTAAGCAGCTACTAGACGGCTGCAGCCGGCCGGCCGTTAGTGCTCCGAAGGGATGCATGAGCTGACGGTGCAGTCAGAAATCACGCTACCAGTGTCGCCGCTGACAACCAGGGAGGGTGTCTTTCCAAGAATGCAAAACGCTGAGCTGGTCAAGCCCGCTGCCTCTGCAAGCAAACACCACCCAGCAAAGCTCTCCATCTGTCACCTGGCAGAGCGCCTTTGAATCAGGCCCAGCTAGCTTGCAGCCCGGTCTGCAGCCGGAGCACCCCGGGCCGCTGGCCCTGCCCCTCCCTCCCTCCCTCCTTCCCTCCCTCCCTCCCTC